CTGCAAATACTGATGATTTGGTCAACAAAATATTAGAAAATAGTAAAAAAGAAAACAAAAAACAGCCACCTTATGCTCTTTTGTTGAAACAGTGGAGCAAAAAACAAAGTTACTTGACTTTATTTTAATCTATGACAGAGAAAACTTCTCTCATAGTGGCTCTCAGAGGATATTAGTGGATAATAGGAAGCAATTATAGTATATAAAGTAATATGAAGCTGTCAAGGCTGCAAATAAGAATATTTTTATTACTGACTGATAATTTAATCATCTAAATGGTAGAAAATAGTACAAAAAACTGCCACTATATGCTCCTAAAAACCTCCTTTTTTACTACTTTTGTCCAAACAATTACCCAAAAAACAAAGTTTCTCAACTTTATTTCATTTATGAAAAAGAAAACCTGGCACAACTGTGAACTGCTTCAGTTTATTGCTCATAACTGTTGCTGCTTTGAACTGAGATCCCTCGTAACTGACATCAAATCTTTGGTAATTGGTCCATTTAAACTTGCTCCGGCTCTTCGGTTCGGTGTAGCAGACATTAGTTTGATTGTTTTAGTGATTGTTAGCTCTTAGTTCCTGCTGATGTCTTGGATAAAGCTGAATCTCACTGATGTGTGCAGCGATACAAGCAGCTCCTGTAGTGAGGTCTGATGTTTATCACAGAGCTTCTGGTCAAACTCTTGTTGTCTTGTTTATCTTTCCTGATTTGCATCAAAGTTTTACTACGATTTAGTCCTGATTGGTCCTGGCACTAATTTTGGGCTCATTAAAGGAGAATTCTGGCTAATTTCTGTCCGTTCAGCCTCAAAAACAAACTGATTCCTGTGTAAACTTCTTTGGAACGCTGCAGGGAGCTCACACTGATGTCTCATGAATGTCTCCAGCAGGTTTAAATAATCTTTACTTCTCTCTAAAGCGGGTGTCGACCTGATGGGGCCTGTCCTCATTAAACACAGAGTCATTATGGAAATCAGTCCTTCCAGTTTCAGTCGCAGCAGGTTACAGATTTAGTTTCTAGCGCTGCAGCATCTCTGGTCCCATGTGACCTTCATATGAAAGGCTTCGACTGACTTCCACTTCTGCAGGCAGTTAACCGTCTGAAACGTCTCAGCGTCTGTGGCCTGGCTCGCACCTCCAGCCCACGTCCACGTTTAGGCACAGTCAGGTTGTGTTTAGTTGAAAACAAGCTCATGAAATAAGTTCTTCTATTGTTTTTCAAAAGGCATTAGGAGGTGGACTCTCAGAACTGGAAAGTGTTCTGATTCATCTCAGTTTTAAACATTTAAATCAGAATTTTGCCAATTTTAGAGTCTTTTATGTCATCACAGTGCTATGATGGCTGCTTTTTTATGGACATAACGTTTAACATTTTAAAACTTTGACTTCTCTTTTAGCAAAACACTTAAACTGAAATGAATTGCCAGTTATAATCCTGCAGGTAAGATGTGAAGCTAGAAACAAGGCGTCTCGTCCTAGTTCATGAACTGTTTTAGCGTTTGTTTTTTTCTCCTCTAAACATTATAATAATTGAAAATGTGTTTTATACTGATTTAACTTCCTGAACATTTTTTTTAAGGGTTGGTTGATGTAATAATGTTGTATCAACTCAATATTCTGTATAATTTAAACTCACGTTTCTCTGTTAATTGAGTTTAAACTGAATTGAAGTTGAGGTAACTTAATAAAATTGACTTGATGACTTCATTTTTCTTCACTTTAACTTCAGGAATTCAAATCTTTTCTATTATGTTAACATGTCTGGACAATTTCAGACGGTTAAGACTGCTAATTAAAAATACCTTTGATTGTAGAGGAAAAGCTAGTTCTGTAAACTCACTATAGTTTGTTGGTTGAACATAATTTCAGTGGAAGTTGTCACAACCCAAAAAGATTGATGCAAACTATTGCGTTACTTTTGTGTTGTGCCCAAACGTTGTTTTAGAGTGTGTGATCGAATCAAGTTTATTTATTTAGCACGTTTAAATCAACCTGAGTTGACCGAAGAGTTGCACATGCTACTAAGGCAGTAAGAAAAGTAGGATTAAAATGGGATAAAGACTTATAAAAATCAATTTGTAAAACAAAATAAAATGATATAAAAACCCACGACGAGGCAAAGCAGCAGTTTTTAAGATCAGCTTTTAATATTTGATAGTTTTATTGATGAACTATATCAAAATAACTTCATCTTCTATTGATATAAGAACCACAAACAAGTTAATATTTAGCAAAAAGGTCAACTTCTTACACATAGGCAGGACTTTATGGCGTCAGGGAGCTCTGTTCACACACCGTTAGCAGCCTCGTTGTCCGTTGGTCGCCTCTGGAGTCGACGTCGCCGCGGCCTGCAGTTTCAAAAGAGGAAGGATTATGCGAGACAGGAAGTGACTCAGTCCCTGTTGATTTTAGTATCTCCCACCGTTGCCACAGAAACCTGCGGTTGTCATAGCAACAGGTTCCGGTGCGCGCCTGTGCTGCCGCGACGCTCCGAATAAACGAATGAATGATTAAGAAAGATGAGCGACGGTGTGTGTGTTTGCTGCGCCTCGTCCTTCACCTGCTCTGACGTTATCGTCCGTCCGGAGGTTCCTGGAGGATTCCTGCTCAGGTTTCCTCCGTCCGACTCTTCTGGGATGGTTTGGATTGTTCCCGGGACTTGGAGAGACCCTTGTGTTCATACTTGGTGTTTAAATCAGGATTGTTGCTGCCAAAAAAGTACAAAAAAGCAAAACTCACCCCCTCTTACTCAAACGTCTACATGACTTGTTGCTTCTTTGCATCTTTCTGCCCCTAAAGGTGCAGAAACAGCTCATCATTTACAGTCTTAGTACATTAGATACGACCTGATTCTTGGGTTTTCCTTTCTAAACCGTCGCAGGGCCATGTTGTGACAGGGGTTCCCACAGCGAATGAGCATGTGAAGGTGGAAGTGTTGAGAGGAAGGCTTTGGTGAGACATTGACCAAACAAGGGCAACTCAGCGTCACCAAACACGCTCAGTAGTTTCACCTCATGCTGCTCATTCTGCTCTGCTCAAGTAGCGTACATGTGATATGGAAGTGCGTCTAGAAAGTCAGCTGCAGTTCTTTCAAGTGCTTTTAAATGTCATGATTAATACCACGTCGGTTCGTTTTGTTCTTGCTATTTTTATTGCACAGTGCTGCAGCAGAATTTGAAACCGAAAGTTCATTCTTGACCTTGGAAACAGCTGCCGATGGTGTAATCTCTCAGGCCTTGTGCACACCTGTGTTGTGCAAAATGTAGATGTTGTAGATTTTGTCCACATGCAAAACCAGTTTTAGGTCACCCACTGAAAAAAGTGGAGCTCTTGCAAACTTGTTTCAATGTAAAGCTATTCGGATATTCTGTTATCGCCGTTGACATGTAGGAATTATTATCATTGTTGATTAATTGTGATTATTTAATTTGTTGTTCAGTCTATAAAATGTCAGAAAATAGTGAAACATGTTCATCAGTGTTTCCTGAAGAACAAGACGAAGTCCTCAAATGTTTTGGTTTGTCCACGACACAGAAATACTCAGTTTACTGACACAGAGAAGGAAAAAAGCAGAAAATGTTCACATTTAAGACGCTGGAATCACAGAACTTTGACCTTTTTTTCTTTAAAATGTTACCCAGATGATCAATAAGTTATCAAACCAGAGTGCGATAAATGTTGTAATTGACAATTAGTCAGGTAATCGATTGATTTTGGGGGATTCTGACAGCAGAGTGTGTGTCTTTATCTCCTTTTAAACATGGTGGGTTTGTGCAGTGGTGGACGTAACCACCATAGTGTTAATGTTCACCTTTCTAACTGGACTTTTGACATGTTTGTGTTTTTGAAGTGCGATCTAGAGGGTTAACTCCATTTTCATCTGAATCTACACGTATAATTCATCAGTCGGTCGTCTGATGTACCTTGTAGTGGATTATTGTTCCGGCTTCTGATTGGTCAACGTGGATTTAGGTGCATCAAGCGTTTCTGCATGTTCATGTAGACAGCTGGGTGATACATTTGCACTTTATTTACTATTCGGCATAACTTTTTAAAGTCTTTCTTCACGTCAGTATTCTCCGTGTGGTAAAATTGCGACATGTGATTCAGCATCAGCACACGGGACACAGTCTGCAGTGTGACCGACACATGGAGGAGGTTTGAGTTTGTAAAACCACAAACAACGGTTTTCAACACATAGTGCACGACGTGTATTCTAATTTGCAGCCTTTGCTTTGGGCTAATTGCACTTTTCAAATCATGATATCAAATCTGGAATCAATCAGTTGGGGAGAGATTTGCTTTTTTATGAATGAAGGAGGAAACCCTGTTGTACACGTGGAGGAAGCTTCTCCTGCAGGAGGATTAAGCTTTTTTTTTTGTCGCCCATCTCACCACATTGTAAAGTGTTTAAACTTTGCACACGCTGCAGTTTAGGACTGATTAATGGCACAGATCTAATAAGAACACAAAATCAGATGTAGATTTAGTCTGTAGTGAATCAACGAGGTCATTAAAGCTGTGCACAGTTGGAAAAAAAAGACAGTTTGATCATTTAAAGCCTCTTTCTTGCAGTTTTCCATCATTGCTGCTGCTCTTTGTTGTGTTTTTAAAATGTGCATAACAACTGCAGCTGTTGTAAATGTGTTACTTTTTTTTCTTTTTTTTTTTTTGTGTTTTTAAAATGTGCATAACAACTGCAGCTGTTGTAAATGTGTTACATAAATGAATTTGATTTGATAAGTAGGATACAAGAGCAAACATGGCAACTCTGTCACTGGTTAATGGATATTAAATTAGCTCATAAGTGGGTTATATCATTGTTTGCGTGAGACAGAAGCCGAGCTGATGTTTCCTCTTTATAAAAACATGATGCTGCTTTATAATCTTTTCAATCAAACTCCAGTTAGTGTGTTGTTGCCATTCAAATAATCACAATAATATAATTAATCTTATTTGTTGACACCATACGAAGCATCAGGACTCATAATTAAGCAACAATAACCCGATGGATCTGACATGAGCCCATTACAATAGAGTTATAACAATATAATCTGAATAAATGTGTTTCGAGTTGTGATCTGAGCGTCACAATCGAGTCCAGCTGACGGATGTGCAGCGGTTGTGAGCTACAGAGCAGCTGGAGGCGCCGGCACATTGTTAACAGTAAAGTTTGGGCAGAAATAGGAACAGCAGAGGAAGACGTTTAAGCGCAGGAAGCAGGTTAAAGATGGAGACGATTATTGTCTCTTCTTCATATCGATACCCAGCTGAGCAAATGCTGCTAACGCCTGCAACTAATCCAGGATTTGTTTCCAGGGGAAGTGACGGATCTGTGAAAGAAAACACACTTTTTTTGAAAAATCTTAAAGCTGCAGTCTTTTTAATTTTGTCCTTTAAGCTGCGGCCGAGGCTCCTGATTGGCTGCCAGAGTGTTGAGCTTCAGGTAGCTCCATGTGGGGAACACCTGAGCCTGCAGGGGAAGGCCGGGGGAGGAATGCTGGGAGTGTGTGTGTGTCCAAGTGTGTGTGTGTGTTGAAGTTGTGGTACGACGGGAATGCTTGTGACAGGTGCACAGCAGGGCGTGAGAGACGGCAGCAGGAATGTAGATGTGTGTTTTCAGTGTGGAAGGCGTCGCTGAACTTGAGTTTTCCATCATCGCTCGCCTCGCACGGATGCAAAGTTTGTGTTATCGCGCTTATTTTCATGTTCTCATCACCTGCACAGGAGCAGCGTGAGGCCGAGTCGACCTGCCGAGCTCAGTATCACACATTATTTGAATGTTCAGTCACCTGTTCATCTGCTGGCTTTTCAAGTGGGACACCAAAGCTCGTAGCTGTAGAGCTGCAGAGCTAAGTGTCAAACTATTTTGATTATCAGTTATTAGATTTGAGTAATTTCCAAAATAAAAAAGGTCATAATTCCATCCATCCACATTCTTAAACGTGAATAGTTTCTGGTTTCTTTCGCCCTTCTTGGCAGTAAACTGAATATCTTTGGGTTGTTCACAAAACCAGACATCTGAGGACGTCGTCTTGGGCTTTACGGAATGCTGATGGACATTTTTTTTTTTTTTCTGACATTATAAAGAGAAAACTACTAATCACTAGCTGCAGCCCTACATGACTGAGAGAAGTTTCCTAAAGATTTTCAGAGACCTGTGCGGATGGAAGACCAAAGCACATGAGGAAAAGATGCATTTTAGGAAAAACCCTTGTGTACAGAAGGACAAGGTCTGGAGAGGTTGTATTATCAGCTCTGTCTGATTCAAGCCTCTCTTTCCTCTCCTGTGACATTAAGCTGAATCAACCAAACAGGACACGTGAGGACGTCATGTCAGGGTTTTCTGACATTTTATAGACCAAACAACTAACATGTCAGCTAACTGACACTGAGGATTATCACACATGTCAACACTGTGAGCAGATTTCTGCACCCTGGAAGGAGTTTTCCAAAAGTCTTCAGTGACCTCAGATTGCATTTGCATGTGGATAAGCTGCTACAACTCAATCATCGGCTACTCGACTTCGTGGAGAGATTGATTGTCAGTGACTGTTTCCAAGGAAAAAAATGTCTTCATAAATTTGAATATTTTCTGCATTCTTTCCTCCTTTGTGGCAGCAAGCTGGATGTCTTTGGGTCTGAGGAGAAAACAAGAAGTTTGGGGATGTTACCTCAACGTTTTTAATATTTTGTGAAGCAAATAACAAATCAGCTAATCTGGGAAATAAGAAATCTGTTGCAGCTCTGCATGGCCACACGACAGATTTTCTAAATATTGGCATTTTATAAAGAGTTTGCCGAAGCTTGTCAGGGAGCTAAAACTGCATTTCCAGTTGGACAAAAGACTGAAAGAATAGGAAAGCTGCATTTTAAAAACATTTGTGTACACGAGGACACGGTCTAAATGAACTTTGTGGAGAGATTACATGAAAATGTTTAAATCCCAGCTTCATAAATGTGAATATTTTCAGTTTTCTTTCCTCCTCTGTGACAGCAAGCTGGCTATCTTTGGATCTGAGGACTAAAAAAGAAATATGAGGACATTACTTCAGGGTTTTTCACATTTACCACCAAACTACTAATCGATTATTGGAGAAGTTATCAACAGATTCATCATCAGCTGCAGCTCTGGTTGGCTGTTAAGCTCCATTAGGTGGATACAGCTCAGATTATCTTCCTTTAATCCAGCAGCTATTTATGTTCAAAAAGTGCTAAAAGGCCAATACAATAATCCTATTAAAGTCCTATAAAAGTCTTTTTATCCAACAAAAACCCAAAACAAAGAACAAATCCTTCAATTTAAGAGGCTGGAAGCAAGAAGTTTTTGTGATTTTTTTGCAGAATAAACTCCTGAAACTGGTTCAAAGATGCAGCAGCCTTCTGCTTCTGTATGTCAAGCTGTGTTTCTTGACTAGATTCTTGCTTTCACTCTTGCTTTGCCCCGTCAGCCTCTCTGGGAATGCAGTCGGACATGTTTTCAGTGCGACACGTATTGATCCGTGCACATTCTCCCCCCCGTCAGCTCAGGTACAGCAGAACCATGTCAGGTAGTTTCGCTGTGGATTCACACTCCATGACGAATGACTCGCAGCAGCGTTTGAAGTCAGGATGTCACGGCTGCAGCACCTCGCTTCCTCTCCGCTCACTGCTGCTGCAGCTCAGATTATAAATCACTCCGTCAGCAGATGCTCGCCGCCGTGACGTCGCGTTTCTGGGCGTCGCCGAGAGGTTTGGCCTCCACAGGTGAACCGGATTCCTGACGGCAGAGTGAAAGTGGAGGAGGAGGAGTGTTAGATCTGAATCAGTGGAAGGAGAACTGAGAGTAGATTTAATCAAATTGTAGGGTGTTAAAGCTGCTGTCAAACTGAGAAATATTATCAGTTTCTGCATCTGTAAACTTCCGCTTTTTGCTCCATTTAAATTCCCTTGAACGGCAAATACCTGTCGAATATGTAGATTTATTTACAGTGAAGCTGTGTGAATGTGTTGTCACACGTCACAAAAGAGTTCAGTTCTGTTTGTACAAATACTGATTTTTTTTTTATGTGGACATAAAATAAAGTTCAGGCCTGTTCTTTTTATTTTATTTTTTTTTTATTTTTATTATGATTTTTTTTATAGTAAACATGTAAATTGATTTTTCTCAGTGATTTGTTCTAGATGTTATCTATAATTTAACAAAACAGAAAAAAAATATGTAAAATAACATTTTTTTTAAAAAGTATCATTTTTAATCTATAATTTACAAAATCTAAAAAAAATAAAAAATAAAAAAGGAAAAAAATTTTCTGCCTATTTAAATATAGTTTAAAAAAAGAAAAGAAAAGAAAGAAGTGTCACTACTTTACAGTTGAAATGTTATGAATGAATTATAAATTATGATTTGTGATAATTTTCATT